TCTCTCACACACACACACACACATAAAGCACATCATAGTTCAGTTCCGTACTTTTGGTCACTATTTAAACCCAGGGGCAAATTGACCATAAAAACTCTATATTAAAAAATATAATTAGGATACTACAATAAATACTTAATTTTTAATAATAAAATATATAATTGATAAAAAAATCAAGCATGAAATAGAAAATAGTTTTGTTATACTGTATTATTTAATTATTTACTCCAAAATAATATACATTTAGTGCACACAAATTTTATTATATAAAAAATTATTGAATTTATTTACTATAAAATAAATATTAAAATAAACGTTATATTTGTTATATTCTGAAAAGAGCAAGAATGGACTAAAATTATTATATTTTATGCTAATCTTTTAGTAATAGTATAGCAAACAGTAGTAATGCTAAATAAGTTTTATATTACAGTATGCATCTATTTATACAAATAATTTACTAAGTTTATATTGACAAAACAATAAGTATTGTACTTTTGATGAGTGAATAATACAGAGACTGTCATAATTATATTACCAATTGTATACCGAACATGGCATTGAATTCAGTGGATTTCCTTTTTAATGATTTTCTTTAGTGTAATATCTTTTCATAAAAATTGATTTTCTATATAAAAACAAACTCAATATTTTCTTATAAATGCAAATACTTGCTATGTTTGCAATACATTTTAGCTCATATAGCCTACCTGTGCGTGACTAAAAAATGTATTTTAACAGATAATGAGACTATACGTACAGTTGGTCGGACAGTAGACTACATTTACTTCACATTAAGATCAATATTTTGTATATAAATGAGTTTTTGAGCGAAAATTCATATTTCAGAAATCTATCATTTCGTGTATTTTGTGAATAAACATAAAACTTAACAAAAATTCAATAGTAATTTGCGACTAAAAATAAATAACTATGACTTCAGTACCAACTCTGGGCTATTGGAACNTATATAAATGAGTTTTTGAGCGAAAATTCATATTTCAGAAATCTATCATTTCGTGTATTTTGTGAATAAACATAAAACTTAACAAAAATTCAATAGTAATTTGCGACTAAAAATAAATAACTATGACTTCAGTACCAACTCTGGGCTATTGGAACATCCGAGGCCGGGCTCAGCCCATACGCTATCTGCTAACGTATGCCGGCGTCGAGTTCAACGACAAACGCTATGTCCTGAAGGACTGGCAGTCAGATAAGCATAATCTAGGCTTTGATTTCCCAAACCTTCCCTATTATATGGATGGAGACATAAAACTGACCCAAAGTCTGGCGATTATGAAATACTTGGCGCGAAAGCACGGACTGGTGGCCAGGGATGACCCCACACTCGCCCGACAGGAGTTGATTGAGCAGTTCGTTTATGATATACAACACGGTTTTCTACCTATTATTATGTCTGACGACTACGCGGCTAAGAGGGATCAGTACAGCACCGGTACTCTCACACCGCAGTTGCATCTATTGGCCGAGTTCTTAGGGGACAAGGAATGGCTGACCGGACAGTTGTCTTACGTGGACTTCATTGTGTATGAAGTGCTGGATTGGTTGAGACTTTTCACACCCGACACCTTCCGCCAGTTCCCAACTCTGGACCAGTATTTGGATCGCTTTGAAGCGCTTCCGGAAATCAATGATTACATGAATGGTAAGGAATTCAAGACTCGGCCACTATTTGCCCCGTATATCAAATGGATGCCCAAATAGGTGCTGGAAATGGAGGCGTGAATGTGTAAAAAAGTTTATATCAAAACTTACTGTAGTGTACACAATAGTATACTGTACTGTATTAGTAATCGTAATATTTTTTATTATGTAGTATTTGTTATATTTATTTTTAAATAAAATTTATTTGTTAAATTTAGAAATTAATTACAAACATTATATAAACTGATATTGTATTGACAACATTCCTATTATGTACAATAATATACAAATATTTAATGTACTAATTTATAGTGTATGGGTCAACAAAATAAATAAATTTATAAACTTTAATAAAATTCAAATATTTATTTATATGCATCTATTTGGAAACATTATAATTAAGAATATATTTTGTGCATGGTCACATTGGTAATCGATAATGTACGACACACTGAAACGGCGTTTTGCAGTACTTTGTTATATTGTATACTCAAAAGTGCAAAAATGCACTAAAATTACTAAATTATGATCTAAATATTATATGTATGCATAGAGTTCACAGGTTCAAAATATCCAACAAAAATCCTATAAAACTAACCTTGATATTTTTAAGTTATTCCATGTAAAATATTGTTTAATACTATAAGTGATGTAATTGTGTTTTGAATATTATATTGACTATTATGTTTCATAATTCAAATAATTGTTAAAAATTTGTTATTTTAAATATTTACAGTAGAGTATACTGTTTTACAAAAATTAAATTACCTATGTATTTGAAGTAGTCAAGTTTTAATATACATTTAAATTATAGTCAAAATAATAAGCTTGTTATCCTGTATTAATTAGATTTGAATTTTCAGATAAAATGTTTGTTACATTGAAAGTCTTTCACAATCATTCCTAAACTACACTGAACATTGAGCTTATTATCATGAAATTAAGAAATAACAAATTACATTTAAATTAATATCATCAATGCAATATGTACTGACAGTCACATAAATGCTAAAATATTATTGGCAACAATTGGATTAGGGTTGGATTCGCAGTACGGTAATAACCTTACAGTTCCCTAACCAAGGTTATATAATTTTAAAGTAATACAATACAATATAATAACTCCAACAAGGTTAATAGGATTGCAATCTGTAATTATAGTCATGCACTAATGTTTAGTGACTATACATATATTTTATTTATATATAAATACTTGCAGTTTGATTTAGTTTCATATACTGTTTGGTGCATGTACTGTAATATCTAAATAACTTAATATTTAATATTGTGAACGACATGTCTGTCCCTACTTTAGGCTATTTTAAGATACGAGCCCTCGCACAGCCGATCAGATTGTTACTGAAATATACGGGAACTCCGTTTACGGATAAGTATTATGAGTTAGGCGATGATTTGCTAACACTTAGGGATAGTTGGCTTAAAGAAAAGTTTACGTTAGGACTGGACTTCCCTAACGTTCCCTATTATATCGATGCGAACGTAAAGCTCACCCAAAGTGTCGCTATTTTGCGATATTTGGGTCGAAAACACGGTTTAGTGGCCAGGGATGAGACCGGACTCGTGCGCCAGGATCTGGTGGAACAACAATTCATGGACTACAGGACAGGGTTTATGCAAATGCTGTTCAATAGAGAAGGCTTTGAGACAAACAAAAAGAAATTTATCGCCGAAACACTTCCTCAATGGTTGGATCAGTTGTCGAAGTTCTTGGGCAGTAATCAGTGGTTTTCTGGACAGACACTCACTTACGCCGACTTCTTGGGCTACGAGATACTCGATTGGTTCCGACTGTTGAGTGCAGAGACCGTCAAGAAGTACCAGAATTTGGTTCAATATTTGGATCGATTCGAGAATTTGCCACAAATTAAGGCTTACATGAAGTCTCCGGAATTTCTAAGTTGGCCACTGTTTGCAATGGTAGCTCAATGGGGTTCAAATCCACATCAAAAGTAAATTACTGTTTATAGTAATTATCCATAAATTGTATCAATATATTGAATTTATTATTTACATGTTTATATAAGAAATTTTATGTAAAACAAAATTCTGCTAATTGCAATACGATATTTAAATTATGAATGCCTTAACCATATATCCAAAGAAATAATTTATAAAATATTAAATTTTTATATAAAATTAATATTACAGGTAGTTTAATTTATTTTATAGAAATAGCAATAATACTACATTATGTGTTTTATTAAACATTACATTTATCTTAATTTCTACACCATTAAATTTTTAAATTTGACAATAATTTATTAGAGTTACTGTATATGACTAGACAGTTAATAATAACAGTTTATTATTATAAAACTAATTAAGATTAGATTATAATTTGTCATTTTATTGGTATATGTAAAATAAATTCAAATACATAACCTGAATCCTGTATTATCACTCAAAAAATATAAATAAATAATAAAATTAATAAAAACAAAATTCTCACACAATTATTATTATGCAAGCTTTGAGTGTATTTTTGGTGCATATTATGTTTTATATAGTATAATAACTAAACAATTATTTATTACATTTCATACTAGAAATATTGGTAAACAATAAATTTAGTTAAAACATAAAATACATTTAAAACTAAATTTATAACACTAACAGTGTTTTAAACTAATTAAATTACTGTTTCTATGTTCATAATATTTCTTACCATGCAAAGTTATTATGTTAGTATATTAGTTAAAACTGCAATAATAAATTAATAATACACTAAAACTGCACTTAAAGCTGACTGTCTCTTAAAACTGCCCTAACCAAGGTTATATACAGTACAGTACTACTATAGTTAAGTAATCTCAATGTATGATACAGTAATTCTCATCCATTTTCCAATAATACAGTTAAACACTTAACATATTATACAATAACAAATCATTCAAACTAAAGATATTGTTAAAATTAATCTTAAAATAACGAGTTCATTATGAATCATTATGAAATTGTTATATGTGGTTTTAAAACCGAAGAAAATTTTAACAAGGTTCATTATAAAGTATCGGTATATTGCATAGAAATTGACACTGATTTTACTTATACTTCTTATGGTTTATACAAAATGCATCAATTGATATATCATTTGAAAGCCTATTTCACGTGTTTTCTAATGATATGTTTTTCATTTGATTTTTTATTGATTGAAATGTTTTATTAATATTTCTTTATTGGATGAAAATTGTATTTATAATTACATAACATATCAAGGGCAATAGAGATTGTCCCGGAATGCCAGTTGTAAATGTACTCAATTTGAGTCAAACAGTAAACATATATTTCACTGAACTATAAATACAAGAAATTTCAGAAATGTTGATTCAGTTTGAATTATATTTAGTTTTCAAATAAATATACAACTAATAAATCACTTTAGTTTTTGTGAATATCATGTCTGTCCCCACGTTAGCCGCCTATAAGGTGCGAGCACTCGGTCAGCCATCACGACTGCTACTTAAATATACTGGAACTCCGTTTACGGACAAGTATTACGAGTTCGGGTCCACTCCGGAGACCAGATACGCGCACTGGTATAACGAGAAGTTCACATTAGGACTGGACTTCCCTAACGTTCCCTATTATATCGATGCGAACGTAAAGCTCACACAAAGTATCGCTATTTTGCGATATTTGGGTCGAAAACACGGTTTGGTGGCCAGGGATGAGACCGGACTCGTGCGCCAGGATCTCGTCGAACAGCAACTCTTTGACTACAGGACAGGGTTTTTTGAAATT